AGGCTGAGCCTGTGTCTCTCAAGAGTTTAACAGAAGTGGGTTGACTGAATTGATCCAGAGCTAAGTAACCAGGGGAACAAAATGGTTCAAAGGTTGATATCATAGAGAGGTGGAAGCATCCAGGGCAACAGTCTGACTGAGGGCAGTGACACAGGGCTCCAATAATTTCTCCGATTGCTCGGCCACCCTGACCAAAAGAGAGGGGGATCCTTGGTGAGAGGAATTTCTTTTCTTTAACTTGAGACAGTCGCTGATGACATGTCCTGGCTTCTTACAGTACCTACAACCAAAGTTTCTCTCACTAATAAGGGTAGATCCACCTGTCCCATGGACCATGGGCTCACCTGTGGTAGATGGTGCAGAATCTGAGGGTCGGGTCGGTATGACAAGAGGCAGGGACCCCGGTGTAGATGTTGGTGTAGGCCACTTGAAGGAAGTGAAGGACTGGGACATGGGAGCATAAGACCTGGAATTTACATTTTTATTAGTTAAGGAATAATGGTTAGCCACTGGACTAGCATCAGCCAGGGTACGGATACCTCTCTGATCCAAGTGTGCTCGAATGTCGCCTGGGATACATTTTCTAACATCCTCAAGTAGGATTAGTTCAACAAGCTTGCCATGTTCTACATGGGCAGTCTCACTTTCAATCCACCTCCGACAAAGGACCTGTTTCTGCCTGATGAACTCCACAAATGTTTGTTTGTCAGTCTTCCGGCAGTTTCGGAACTGTTGCCGGTAGACTTCAGGAACAAGTTTATAAGCGTTCAAAACCCCGGACTTAACAAGGGCACAGTCTAGACATTGATCCTCAGAGAGAGCAGAAAGCACATCTAATGCCTTACCAGTGAAAGATCTATAAATAAGTTGAGACCCTTGAGAAGCGGGCCACTTATTAAGTCGGGCAATTTCCTCAAAAAGAGAGAAGAACTTGTCTGGTTCATTCTCATTAAATTTAGGAACACTGTTGAGACATTTGTCTACACTAAATTTTGAAGTATCACTACCTTGAGCCAAACCTCGTTGTTTGAGAGTTCCAGCTCCACCTCGAGCCTCTTGAGTTCAACTTGTAAGGCCAAATTACTTGGTGTAACAATTTCCCCTGAATTTCCCGACGGTTGGGCTATGATTTCACTGTCAACAAGGTGGTTGAGGACAGCCTCTTCTAACCTAGCCTTATTCATGGAAGAGCGGCCTTCTGAATGATAATGATGAGCGAGGGATTGCCACTCTGCCTTAGTAAGCCCATTCAGTCTTTCGGCTGAAGGTGAAGCCAAAAAGCTTTCCAGGTCAAACATGTTGAACTCAAAATCGTAGCAAAAAAAATTTAACAGTGGCAGCTAAGCTAACTAGCTGGCTAATAAATAATATTAAAATGCAATCAACTGTGAAAACACAGCAAGGGATTAACCAATCACGTGCTACACAAAGATAAGGGTTAACTCACCAGTAGCTTAAGCAATAAAACAGGAGCAAAATAATTAAATGAACACTGTGAACACAGCAACTTGCATCCAAAAATACTTAGCTGTGAAACAACATCTGGCGAGTAAACAACACTTGAGATGGCACAACAATGGTTAACTTCCGGACCAAGGTCCCCACTTGTCGTGATCCCAATATCCTTTATACCTGGGGAGTGAAACCTACCCCAAGTTATCATCAAATAAAGGAACAAACAGGGAACACGGCAATAACTATCCCAACAATAACCGACTCAACTGAATGTACTTGAATAAATAAGAATAAGTTGGAGTAAGTGAGTCACAAATGGGAAGATAATTAAATAATTCAATTTATGTTCTTAAAGGAGTACTGTCTAGCAACCATGAAATTTAAGGGAATAAATGATTATATATTAAAATAAGAGTGATGCCGGAAGGGTGAAAATCTACCGTTAAGGAGTTAAATCAAATGAATACTACTTAACATGAACTATATTAAACACAGACATCCCAATATATACACAGCAATCACAACCAACTGGTTAATTCCTACCAAATAGGAGATTCCTCAACACCAGGATTCCTTCCTAGGCCTAAGTTAACGTGCCACTAATTACCAGATACCACTAGGGTATTGTAGATGACTGAACAAGGCACGTCTGCACTGGGTCTGAGTGGACATGTCCTGCTTATAGCCTATACCAACGGTTACTAGAGAGAGAGTCTCTGGCCACCCAGCATATGAGTGAGGAGCATCTTAGATCACGTGACTCAGGACAGTTGCCAAATAGTCTTATAACTAATAAATACTACTCATGGTTTGACTTAACAGAGTAACACAAATGATGCATATTAATGACATATATAGATATACAATTAACCTAAGTAACTAAGAACAACAATAAGATGATAGTGAAAATAAGAAGTTATTAATAGCTTGTGTGGAGTGGAGGCGTAAACAGATACCACACGACATGCTTGTTGCTATGGGGTTATGGGCACATGACACTAGGGAACAGTGATCACAGAGAAATCAGGTTCACCCTAAATTGGGAAACGAAAAACAATGACAATGTGGTCAGAGTCCCAAACTTTCGATTGACGGATTATCCGGGGTTAAGTACCTAGGTGAGGTCGCCTGGGAACTTTCAGGTCAGTCCCCAGTAGGAACGGGTGAGGTCATAGGTGACACAGCAGTTGATCATGACTATAATATATTCACTCGTATATTACGTAAAGCACAAGAATAAAATATACCATACAGAAAAATTAGGTCAAATAAGAATGAACCAAGGTGGATGACCAAAAAACTTAAGCATGACATAGGAATAAAGAATTAAATTTATAAGAAATTAAAGGGAGGGGAGGAGCAGCCCAGAAATAGGTATAATGAACTATCTAAGAATGTTAAGAAAAATATAAGGAAGGCAAAGCGGGACTACGAAATCAGGATAATAAGAGAAATCAAGGCGAATCCCAAGGGATTTTTCCAGGTGTACAGGACAAAGGTCAAGGACAAAATGGGACCTTTAAAGTCAGAGAGAGGGAAAGTGATCGATGATAGCGAGAAAATATGCAAAGCATTAAACAGCTACTTCTTATCAGTTTTCACAGAAGAAGTTCACGAGGAAATGCGAGAGGTGGAACTGATATTTAAGGGAAATGAAGAGAAATTAAAGAATATCACTATTAGAAAAGAGAATGTTCTTAAGAAGATAAATAAATTAAAGAAGACAAAATCCCCAGGGCTGGATGAAATTTTCCCTCGAGATTTGAAAGAGTGTAAGGAACAGATCAGAGGACCACTCGTAAATTTATTTACAAAATCATTTGACACGGGAGTTGTGCCATTCTTGTGGAAACAGGCAAATGTAGTATCCATATTCAAAATGGGAGACAGAGCATCACCATCAAATTACCGGCCGATTAGTTTGACGTCAGTAGTAGGGAAATTTCTTGAATCAATTATAGCAAATAGCATCCGAACGCATTTACAGAAGAACAAATTAATCTACGACTCTCAACATGGGTTTAGAAGGGAAAATCTTGTCTAACAAATCTGCTAACGTTTTTTTTTTAGGAAAGTCTTCGAGGTAGTAGATAATGAAGAAAATTACGATGTTATTTACTTAGACTTTAGCAAAGCGTTTGACAGTACCACATCAGAGGCATCTCAGAAAAGTTAAGGCTCATGGTATCGAGGGGAAAGTTTTAAATTGGATAAAATCATGGCTCACCGATAGAACACAGAGGGTCAGCGTAGATGGTGTTAAATCTGAGTGGGGATGTGTAACTAGTGGGGTTCCCCAGGGGTCAGTACTGGCCCACTCTTGTTCATAATCTACATAAACGATCTACTGTACATACTGGGATCAGCAGTGACGTAAACAAGTTTGCGGATGACACCAAAATAGGGCGGCAGATTAATTCAGGGCAGGATGCAAATGCACTACAGGAGGGTTTAAATAAACTGCAGGGCTGGTCAGGAAAATGGCAAATGAAATTCAACACCAGCAAGTGCAGCATACTTAATATTGGAAGAACAAATGCTGTCAATGTATACAGCCTTAACAACATCAACCTAGAGAAGTCGACTTGTGAAAGAGACCTAGGGGTACTTGTAAGCCCAGACCTACGGCCCAGAAAACAGTGCGTTAATGTTCGAAATAAGGCAAACAGAATAATAGGTTTTATATCTATAAGTGCAAGTAACAAGAGTGCGGAGGTCATATTGCAACTATATCTTGCGCTAGTCAGGCCGCACCTCTATTATGCTGTTCAGTTCTGATGCCCTTATTATAGAATGGATATCAAATCACTGGAGTCGGTGCAGCGAAGAATGACGAAAATTATTCCGGGACTTAGAAACCTTCCATATCAAGATAGATTAAAGAAACTAAACTTGCATTCCCTGGAAAGACGAAGGGTGTGGGGAGATATGATAGAAGTATTTAAGTGGGTGAAAAGAATTAATAAAGGAGATATAGATAAAGTTCTTATAATATCCGAGCAGGATAGAACTCGTAGCAATGGATTAAAGTTAGAAAAGTTTAGGTTTAGGAGGGAGATAGGAAGAAACTGGTTCACAAATAGGGTGGTGGACGAGTGGAACAAGGTTAGCAACTTTGTAATAAGTGCTGGAACGCTGGAAAGCTTTAAAGGGAGGCTAGATAGATTCATGGACGATAGAGAGTGGCTGTAACTCCCGACAGGAGCTGCCATGCACAGGTCAACTGGCCTATTGCAGACTCCTTATTTTCTTACTCCCTGTATGTTCTTATGTTCTTTTGTCAGCTTCTCTTACTGCTAAGTTCCAAGGAGGAATCAGTATTTAGAAAAAATTGAAAACTATTAAATGTTTGGATCTGTGGAGAAGTGAATGAGAAAGGATCTGTTGTTGATAGCGTATCAATACGTGAGAAAGTAAGTTGCTTGTATGCTCATGTTGTGAAAACTGAGGGGGCAGGGAATGATGCAGTGACTATGACTGATTTCCAAGCAAGCAAAGGATGGTTTTAAAATTTTAAATTCCGCTTTGAGTTACATTATGTGAAGCTTCAGGGAGAGGCTGGATCAGCAGGCAAAGAGGCTGCAGAGCACTTCAAGCCCATGCTGCTTGAAATGATCAAGGACAAAGGCTATGTCCCGGAGCAAGTGTTTAACGCTGATGAGACTGGCCCCTTTTATGAATGCATGGGCAACAGAACCTACATTACAAAGGCCCATAAAGTTGCTCCAGGGCTTAGAACTTTCAAATACAGGTTGACATTGTTATTTTGTGGTAATACAGCTGGTTATTTTAAGTGCAAACCCATGCTTGTGGTGTTTGGAAGTCCAATAAAAAGGCCTGTGTGACTAGGGGGCTGTTTACTGATTGGTTGGAGCATCATTTTGTGCATGAGGTCAAGGAATATCTCAGGAAGAAGAACTTTGACTCAAAGGTGTTGCTATTGTTGGATAATGTCCCAGGCCATGATGCAAAAAACACTTCGGTTCATACATCACAATTTGGACGTTATGTTCTTGCTCACCAATACCACTTCAATTCTGAAACCAACAGATCAAGGCGTCATCAAGACATTTAAGTAATATAACACGAGGAATGTCTATAAGCAAGACCCTGAAGCAATGGATGCTGGAGGGCATTTTTAGCATCAAAGACTGCCTTGACACTATAAAAATGTCTTGGGATGAAGTGAAACCTTCCACCATGAACGCTTGCTGGCACCAGTGATGGCCTGAAATTGTTCACGATTTCAGGGGTTTCCGATTGTTGACAAGTGTTACGAACCACGCCATCAATTGTCATGATCTACCTACCCAGCACCATTAGTAACGCCATCTAGGGACGAAAGCCGAGTATGAT